GATTGACTTTTATCCGATTGGCTAGCCCCTTTCCTCTGGAGCTGCCGAGTTAGGAGGTTTTTTACCTTTTGTTGTATATATCTTTATGGGTATGCTGGGGCCCTATCCCACAAATCTTTACTACTCTTAGAGGCTTGCAGACTAGTGTGTGGGGTTTTATAGCTACGTCATGGCCATGCTGGCCTATGTTGTTGGTTTGCGGAAGCTTGTAAGCTGTTTGATGTATTGTATTGATATATACCTATTTTTAGTTTTGGTATAGATATCATGGTGGCCTCGACGGCCCAATCAGGACTTCTGTACTAGTTGGCTATTTATTTATATGATCTCCTAGGAGTAGCTGTTTCTTTTATAGATCAGTTGACAGGGGCCTTGCCGGTCAATGGCTTAGTTTTAAGCCGAGATATACTTGTTTGATTTCTTGATTGCGTGTGGCTGCCATGCGCTAGTAGCAAATGGTTCAGCAGGGTCGGCTCAGGCCTGAGCTTTGGCATTAGGAGCCAGTTGCGCCCCTCGAGTTTGGGGCGTGACATCCGCAATGCGGCCTCACTTTCCAGATTCGCCCGACTTTTTCCTTCTTCATTTTCCAATCCCAATTCGTCTAAACTCGATTATTTTTCTCAAGTTCTCTTTAGATTCAGATATCCAACATATGTACCCAAGAACCTAACTTAACACCACTCTAAAACCTAACGCGATAACCTCAAGAACTCCTCAATTCAGCCCAATTCAAGAATGAAAATAAATTCAAAAAACACATATCAAGAACATCAACATTCAACCCTTTTTCAAACGAATTTCGCTGAACTAAACATGATTGGCGCGTGGGTGAATGAACCCTACGCTATGAAAGTCTCACATACCTCATAGGGATTAACCCTTGGCGAATACACGAAAACCTCCAAGAACTCGACGAACAATGAACTTTTCTTCTCCTTTCTCCTTCTTTCTCTTTTCTCCAAGCCCTAGCTTATTTTGGTAAAGGCATAAACTGATGTAATTCTGATTAGACCCTAACTTAATTAACAAAAATGAAATAAAACAATTGGGCAAGGAAAAGACCAAACTACCCTTTCAAAATCCGGATTGGATTTTCCTTATCCAAACAACCCAACTTCCAATGGGCATATATCACTCATACGAACTCGGAATCGTGCAAACTTGACGGCGTTGGAAATATAATTCAACGATATTTCCTACGGTATCTGTAAGCACACCTAACTCATCCTGAGCTAGGACTTATGGTCGTTTGAAGTTGACCAAAACCCAAACTTAACATAACTTAACAAATTTCCAAATTTTTCATTCATTCCAAAAACAACTCTTTCTAATTCTAGCTCTTTCTAGTTCTTTCAAAAAGCGAGGTGTTACATATATGTTGGTGATTCTAGAACTACTCAAGTTCTTGGAATGGAAAAGTTCTTCTTATTAAACTCACATTTAACATTATTTGAGATGGTACATGATTTTAATATTTGTGCTAGATTGATGCTTATGGATTTATGAGAAAAGATTGAATGAATGTTTATTTGAATTTGATAATGTGTTAACAAATGTTATCATAGAGGATGATATGTTGAGCATGATTTATTTGTGGTTAATATTGTTCAATATGAAAATGCTAGTGATTACATTTACTTGATTGATTCATTTGAAATATGACATGAACTTAAACTTGTATTTTTTTAATTAAATTTATTTTAATAGTACACATTGTATTATTTCTATAAACACTTAGAAGTGTGAAGTTTGTGTTGGAATTGTGCATACTAAAAATAAAATAAAATCATATGCTTGTGTTTAGAGTATTTAAATTGTTCAAAATAACTCTTCAAATTTTTGTGAGACTTGTATAAATAATGAATAAAGGTGACAAATGTTATTGTGTTACATTTATTGACTATTTCTCTAGATATGCTAAAGTAATTTTTTGTTGAGAAATAAAAATGGAGTCTTATGATATATTTTATTATGCTATTGTGGCATACAAAATTAAAAACTTTATGAACATTGAAAATGTTATCCCTCTATTTTGAAATATTTGAAAGTGTAGGAGTGTTTTGCTAAGGTTGTACTATATGATCCTAAGAAAAATAGGCTTTAAGTTTTTTATTGTATGCTAAAAAATGTTGTATATACATACTTGTGATAGTTGTGGTGTGACTTAATACAACGATAGAGTTGGAAAAATAAAAATGGTATTGTTGAGTGTTTAAAAGTGATTATATCTTTTGTGTTATTGTTGTTTGAAATAATATTGCTTCTTGAGGTATCATTTTGGAAAGAAGTCATTGATGACACATGAGAAGTACTACAAGTCTAGTACCAAATAAATTGAATAGTTTGTGGTACTAGAGGAGTATAATATATGATGAAAAAGGTAAAAGAAGTTGGTACATTTTTGTGAATGCCATAATATAAAAACAATTAATTAGAATTAGTTGTTGTGGAGTTGATTGGTGATGAGACTAAGTGGTCAAGATAACTCTCTTAGTGTGTATTCCAATTGGATTAAAACCAATTTTTATGTGACTAAATTAGATATATGTGTTTGAGACACAATGTGAAGAAGCTACTGCAGTGAGATAAATTATTTGCTTAAATGAATTATGTGTAGTCGAAGGTGAATCTGATCAATTCACTAACTAATGAAACATCGAGAGGAGTAAGACTTTTGCCATTTTGAGAAGATCAACAATGATCAATGGTAACCCAACCTATGTGATTGGAGATCCCATGAATTAGGTTCATATTGGTAATAACAAGTCATTAGTTGATCAAGTAAGCACTATAAAATTATGTCCCTCCTATGATGTGTGAATATAGTGCAATAATCTGCAAGGCAAAGTGAGGCTGAGTTAGGACTCTTAATCTAATTCATATCTTTTATAGGTGGTGTATTGCTCTGCAGAATATACTTGATGATTGGACCTATATGAGTGTGAACTGGTACCGCTTCTATGAAATTGTGACAGATTTCTAGAGCACTCATGAATACTAGGACACGCACATACATGGCCTCTTAGCACAAAACCGGAATAACAACAAAGATTGTGTGGGTATAATGTGATATAATATGACGCTGGACTTACAAAAAAATTATTGGTTCATAGAAGTTCTAAACTTCACCAATTATTCTGTAAGTTTAATCTTGTTTTATCTAGGTCTGGTTCATAGTCTACGGACACCAGATTCAATGCATTGTACTCATATGAGGAAATTCAGCAAAACTTCTTATTTCTTTCAATTCTTAATATTTTTTTTGAGAGATATGTAGGGGATTGTTGAAAAAATTGTTCTAATATCTCAAAAAGAAGTATTCATAATATTTTCTAGGTACATTCTTTCTGATCTTGTTTATGAGTATTAAATATATATTTATTGTGCTTGAATGCCAAGCCTTGATTAGCCATAATTCCATTATATTTTCCACCATTGAAAGCAATATTTTGGCAGTTGACTTTCAGGTTTAAACATTCCCATTATTAACCTTTATGACCCATTAATCCTCTTATCATTGTCTTGAATTTCCTGCAAACATTTGGGAGAATGATCTTATCTCATTTCCTATAAATGATTTGCTTCTTGGTTCACGTAAAAAGAAATTAAAAAAGAGAGATTTTCCTTTCTCCTTTGTCCATGTTTCATGTGCTGGAATTTCTTTCTATTGTATATCTTTGTTAGTTTCTGGCTCCTAGTTTTGTACTAGAAGAGCTTGTTGAACCGTGGTTGATACATCTATACCGGATGAAATATCCTTAAGAACAGTGTCTTTCGACACGCCTCAAGCTATGAGAATTTCCTATAAGAGTTCGCGGTGAAATACAAGCTTTGATGAAATCAGTACAAATGTTCATGATGAAGATATTTTCCGTAAGATTTCCAACAGATCGAACTTCAATATTCAATAGTACAGAGTCGAACACAACAAGTGCATCTGCAGATTCCAATATTGTTATGATAAATTTCTATAGCTTTGCTCCATTGTCTATTACTCTCAAGTTAATAAATCTCGTGAATATACAATAGATATGACTTTCGATGATTTTCATGTCATATATATACGGAAGATTTGTCATGCCTTAAAATATCTACGACTTTTACTTCAATAGAACTTGACCTCGTATAAAAAAAAACTTGTGATTTTCTCTATTTTTTTTTTATCTGCTTTGTTGACTCTTACTTGGACTCAAAATTATTCTCTTTATTTTTTTCCTTCTTTGCTCCTTTATTTATGTTATTTGTCCCAATCATCCTTGTATATATATATACAAGTTGTCCTTGTGCATTTATGTCTCGTCTGGTGGGGACCTGATTCATCGGATAAAGTATATATAAGACAATAAGTAGTGAATCAGATTTATATTGTCAATCATCAAAGTTATATACATGTTCTCTTATTTTCCAACAATTTTCCCCTTTGGTTTCATTGATTATGATAAACAATGCATCATAGTTTACTTTGTTAATCATCAAAACTATAAACTTGCTCACCTATTTACCAACATATAGTTTTACAAAAACTGTACAGTTATAAAGATACTTATTATTATTATAGATAAAAAAATGTTATAGAGTTAAAATATAACATAAAAAATCATCTACGAGAAAAAATTAATTTGGCGTTTATATTTATATAAAAATATTGTTTTAGAGAGATCTGACGATAGATTGATTGTGAATGACATTTTAGGATGGCAAACATATTTGTTTTTAGTTGTGGGGATAGGCTGCATACAAGATCTATTAAAGGGTACTTAAATTAATTTCATGTATACATTTATTTGAGTTATAATGTGATTAGAAATTTTGTGTATAGTTGACAAATCATGGAGTGTGTTCTTCATTGATCAAGAAACTAGATAAGGCAATTGAAAATTTTTATGGACTTCCCTTAGAGGAGAAAATGAAGTTTGCGCCACAATTGGGAAATAGCCAAGGTTATGGCCAAGCAATTGTTGGAGAGGGGGTAAATTCAGACCATGTAGAGAGATTTTACATGAATTCATATCCCATAAATACAAGACAACCACATCTTCTTCCAAAGCTCCCACCTTCACTAAGGTACATATTTTCGTCTGTTTCAATTTATTTATCTTACTTTTCTTTTTAATCTGCTTAAAAAAAGAATGTTTATGTTTCTTTTGATAACTCTTTAACGTTAATTTTCTACACGACTCACAAGATTAAAATGCATTTTGGTATATTTTGCATATATTTAATTTAAGATCACAAGATTAATAAGATTTTTTTTTTACTTTTGTAACTTCGTATCAAGTAAAATAAATAAATTGAAATGGAGATAGTATATTTTAGGTCCGAACATCTATAGGTGGCGAATGGGGGGTTGGGCTGAATTTGAATCAAAATGAGTTAAGTTAATAAATGAGCGGATCAATAAAATTACTTGGCTTGAAATCTCAAACCGTCCAACTCTTACTAAGTTTTAATTGTTTTATTTGTTCTCCTATGCAATCTTTAGTACAATAAAATAAAATATCTTTTAAGAATATTTTGACAAATTTTTTCATGAATCAATATGGGCTAGATATCCATCCAAACTTTGATGGACTGAAATTGCTAATAAGGGATGAATAATAATCAACCCAAACTTTAGTAAGTTGGACGGATTATAATTTCATGCGCTAATATTGTCATATATAAATGTTTAAATTAAAATAGAGATGTAACACATGTTTGTCTACTTTTATTACAGAGAAAGTCTTGAGGCTTATCTTGAAGAATTGGAGAAACTTGCTATATCCCTTCTAGGTTGTCTAGCAAAAACTTTAAAAATTGATAGGGAGGTAATGCTAAAAATGTATGAGAAGGGAATGCAATCAGTGAGGATGAACTATTATCCACCATACTCTAAACCTGAGTTGGTAACTGGGCTGGGGACTCACTCAGATGGCAGTGCAATTACCATAGTTCATCAAGTTGATGGAGTTGATGGATTGCAAGTCAAACAGGATGGTGTTTGGATCCCAGTAGAGTTCATTCCTAATGCATTTGTTGTGAACATTGGAGATATTCTTGAGGTTAGTTTTGACACTTTTGTGTACTATACAAATGTTTTTTTCTTTTCTTTTAAGTTGAGATAACGGTCAAAAACATATTTGAATTATTAATGTGTAGTTTTACATTCTAAATGTTAGTTGTTCACTTTTAAAACACACCTCAAATCATCAATTATCATATGTTTGTTTTTCCTATCTGAAAATCGTAAATTTATCAGATAGGAAAATGAAATAATAGATAATTGAGGTCATATGTTTTGATACATAAATGGTGATAAATCAGGTAGGATCGGAAAAGGTAACTATCGTCATTTACATATTAAAACGCACCTCTATTATCAAATGTTTATTTTTCCTACATGAAAATAGTAAACTCTATTAGATAAAAAAATGAAATAACTAATAGTTGAGGTCCAATATTTCGATGGTGATAGGTCAAGTAGGAAAAGAGGGAACTTCCGTCATCTATATATGTATTAAAATACACTTTAACTATAATTAGATGTTCGTTTTTCCTACCTTAAACTCTAAACCCTATTACATAAGAAAAATGAAATAACTGATAGTTGAGGTGTGCTTTAATATATAAATAGTGATAGTTCAGGTAGGAAAATGGAACTATATATCACCATCTAGGTATTAAATACACACCCCAATTATCAATTGTTCTATTTTCCTATCTGAAAATCATAAACCCTATCAAGTAGAGAAAAGAAACAATTGATAATTAAGGTGTGTGTTTAATATATAAATGATAATTCAAATATGTTTTTAACTATTAACTTCTTTTTTTGTTGGTTTGGTCTTATGTTTTTTAATTAAACATGCAGATTTGGAGCAATGGTGTTTACAAAAGCCCAGAACACAAAGTAACAGTGAATGAACATACAAGGAGGATTTCCATTGGAGTGTTTTTCATGCCAAAACAAGAAGCAGAAATAGGACCAGCTCATTCCTTAATAAACTCTACAAATCCTGCACTATTCACAAGTGTCACAATGGACAAGTACCTCAAAGAGTTTTTCTCAAGGAAATTAGCAGTCAAAACTTATTTGGACCACATGAAGATTAACAAATTCTAGTTCTACAACTTAATTTGGTAGTGCAAGTAGTTTTTATAAAATAAAAAAAAATTGGTTGTAAGGCAAGTAAAACTTTTAACTTCTTAAATATTTGTTTTTCAACGTCTTATATTTAGAAATTACTACATTATTTGTATGTGGTGTGGAATGATTTTGGACATGATTGTTCTAGAGGACTTGTTCTTGGGTGCCTATGAATTAGATCGGACTTGTTCTTGGGGGCCTATGAATTAGATCTAATGTGATTATAACTAAAAACTCAGAGACACACATAAACTTAACTAGGGTCCTATTACCCCCTAATATATTATTTCGTATTTTTGTGCACTTTTTGTGTTGTCGTGGCACCTTCAATCATCCAAATTGGTTGTATTTGTACTTTACTCGCCTGCCACATGTGAAAATATTATTTTTTTACTTACTTTTTATATTCTTATTTTCTTTATCTTGTATTTAAATTAAGTTAATACACCTTTTTTTTTTACCTTCTATCGAAACTTTTATTTTTTTTACCTTTATTCATTATTTTTTTCTCTTTTATTTTTCTATTGATTTCATTTCTTTGTCTTTCGTTTTGATTTAATTTTAAATTTAATTTCAAATGTCTTTTATTTAAAATAAGTTAATTTTGAATCAATATCCAAATGAGTGAAGAAAATCAAATGAAACATAAAAAAATTAAAACGTTAGAATTACATTAAGGACACTTTTAATTATTATTTTTTAAAGAAAATACACATTTTTTTAAAAATAATTAAAAGCTCAAAGATAATTAATTAATTAAAAATAGTTTAAAGTGAGAAAGAAATTAAAATAAATATTTTACAAAGAAAGAAATAAAAATAATTAAACATATATAAGTTTTAATATCAATAAATATGTGTACAAACTAATTATAAAGTTACCAATAAAAATATGACATGTGTCCAATTCGTGAATATCACTTACCTTCAAGAGATTGTGCACACTCTCTATGCCATGTCAACGTTTGGGGGTATTTATTTCATTTATATTAGTTTAGGGGGGTAAGAGGACTCTAATTAAGTTTAGGTGTGCATCTGAGATTTCAGTCATAGTGTAGGAGGGTACTTATGGCTTATCACCTATATAAATATAGGTTCCATTAATATTATAAATTAGTAATTCTTTAAAAGTACAAATATATCTAAAATAATTTAGTGAAATATGATTCTATTGTGTTTTATTTTTGTTAAAATTTAAATATAATTGAAAGTCATCTCTAACTTTTTTTTATTGCATCTAAAAGTTCAGATGTAATCTTTTTGAACTGTACCATAAAATTGTAAAGAGCTCTAGATCCATGTCTTATTACACATATGACTATAACAATTAAGAGGAGGCGAAGAGCAAATATATAAACTTCAAACCCATGTCTTATTACACACCACAAAGGTTAACATAGTTGACAACATATCACTTACATGAGAAAGACACAACAAACATAAAAAAAAAGAAGTACACAACCAACAAGGATTGTTTTTTTTTTACCATACTTTCAAACAACAACAAAGCAAAGTTTATTTATGTAAAGCTCACATGCTTATATATGATCCCATCCTAAGTCACTACTAAAAAAACAGTGAATACCGACCTAAAAATTTCCGACCTCAAATGGAGGTCGGTAATTTCCGACCTCCGGAGGTCGGTATTTACAAGTAGTCGGTTTTTATGCAAAATAAAGAGGGAAAACCAAATTCCGACCTCCGGAGGTTGGAATTTTTCCCGGAAAAAATGAATTATAATAAAAATACCGACCTCATGAGGTCGGTTTTTTTT